TCAACAGTAACACAACCACAGTAACACAATAACAGCCATAAAAGGGGATATCGACTTTAACACCCCCACTTCCACCAATGGACAAATCATCCAAAATGAAAATAGACAAACACAAGCTTCAAATGACACATTAGACCAGATGGACTTAATTGGTATTTATAGGACATTCCACCCCAAAACAATAAAATACACTTTCTACTCAAGTGCTCATGGAACATTCTCCAGGATAGATCATATGTTGGGTCACAAATCAAGTAATTTTAAGAAAACTTGGTAAATTTAAGAAAACTGAAATCATATCAAGTATATTTTCTGACCACAATGCTATGAGACTAGATATTATGAGAAAAAAACTGTAAAAAGTAAAAACACATGGAGGTTAAACAATATGCCACTAAATAACCAAGAGGTCACAGAAGAAATCAGAGGAAATCAAAAAATACCTGGAAACAAATGACAACAAAAACATGACGACCCAAAACCTATGGGATGCAGCAAAAGCAGTTCTACGAGGAAAGATTATGCAATACAATCCTACCTCAAGAAACAAGAAAAATCTCAAATACACACAACTACTGAGCCCACGTGCCACAACTACTGAAGCCCGCGCACCTAGACCCTGTGATCTGCAACAAGAGAAGCCACAGCAATGAGAAGCCCGCACACCGCAACAAAGAGTAGTCCCCGCTCGCCACAACTAGAGAAAGCCAGCGTGCAGCAACGAAGACCCAACGCAACCAAAAATAAATTAATTAAAAAAAATATATATATATGTAAAGAATTCATACAACTCAATAGCAAAAAACAGTCCAATTAAAAAATGGGCAGAGGATTTGAATAGACTTTTTGCCAAAGACGACATACAGATGGCCAACAGACATGAAAAGATGCTCAACGTCGGTAACATCAGGGAAATGTAAATTAAAACCACAATGAGATATTCCCTTACACTGGTTAGAATGGCTATTACCAAAAAGATAAGAAATAACAAGTGATAGAGAGGATATGGAGAAAAGGGAACCCTTGCACACTGTTGCTGCTGGAAATGTATAATGGTGCAGTCATTATAGAAAACAGTATGAAGGTGCCTCAAAAAATAAAACTACCATAGGATCCAGCGATTCCACTTCTGGGTATTTAACTGAAGAAAACAAAAAAAGTAACTTGAAAAGATATATGCACCCCCCATGTTCACTGAAGCATTATTTACAATGGCCAAGATATGGGGAAAAAAACCTAAGTGTCCATCAACAAATAAATGGATAAAGAAAATGTGTATAATACACAAAATATATACATAATGGAACAGTATTCAACCATAAAAAAAGAATGAAATATTACCATTTGCACAACATGGATGAACCTAGAGGGTATTATGCTAAGTAAAATAAGCAGAGAAAGACAAATTCGTATGATCTCACTTATATGTGGAATCTTTCAACAACAATAAACTCAGAGATAAAACAAACTGGTGGTTGCCAGAGGTGGAAAATGGGTAAAATGGGTGAAGGGGGTCAAAAAGTAAGAGCTTCCAGTTACAAATAAAGTAAGTTATGGGGATGTAATGTACAGCATGGTGACTATAGTTGATACTGTACTGCATATCTGAAAGTTGCTAAGAGAATAAATCTGAAAAGTTCTCATCACAAGAAAAAAATTCTGTAACTATGCATGGTTAACTAGACTTACTGGGATGATCATTTTGCAATATATAAAAATATCAAATCATTATATTATACCCCTGAAACAAATATATGGTATATGTCAATTATGTCTCAATAATAAAAAAAGAATGATAGAACAGAAGATCCATAATAGCCTACATTATAATAAGGCTCTAGTCTAATGTTCTCTGCTGCCAGTTTCAAATCTTCTGAATTAACAGGAGATAAGACCTCTAGGCATCTCTGACAAATGCTACCTGTAACTTATTATCAAGGTATCAAGATAATAGAAAACATTACTACTATTAGTTTATTGTAAATATATAAACTATTTACAAATTATCAAGGAAAAACAACTCAAGCCTTCAGCAACGAAATTTTCAATTTATTCAACAATTTTTTCAATTGTTGAAAACAGCAGTTTAACAGGCAACTAAAAGGAAAGAATCTCATGATCTTTGGAGCTTAAAATAAAAAAAGTCCTTGACAACATGGTCATCAATGTCTATGTTCGGCCACAAATATATGAACTAGTACCTACAGGAAGTTACTTACAACTCAATCTCATCAATTTTTTTCAACAAATATCCCTCAAATAATAGCACAGTTCTTGGCCAAAGAGAATCAGAGATCAGTACAACAACAAATAAAAGTGAAATGAACTATAACCTACTACTGTTCCCACTTACATCATAGACATGTTGGGGCAGAGAAAACACAAATGCAATCTTTGTTTCAGTCTTCAAAAAAAATAATATTAAAAAAAAACTCAGTCTCTGAATACCTACTATGCACAAGGCACTAGAGTTTAAAATGTGATATATCAGCCGGTAATACAAGACTCATGCCTACCTCTACCTATTTACCACTCATCACAAAACCAACTTTCAAAGGATAGGATTGTCTTGTCTATGCATTTTTCCTCTTAGTGACTGGCTTAACTCAAAGAGAAGGGGCAAAACAATGCTTTTATGTTTGCAAGGCTACTGTATTACATTAAAAATTAGGGCTCTTCAACCACAAGAGGCACCAATACTCTCCAAGTTTTTACAGCAGCTTTTTCATCAAAGTAGATAATTTTTTTTTAAGTGGAGCTTTTCTAAAGTATATTTAAACTGAAAAATCTATATTTAACAAAACATAGTAAAATATTTTATTTTCACTGTTAACGGAACTGTAAAGATAACCTCTCCCCTAAGCCACGATAATGTTTCTATCTAATCGGTTTTTGCCTTAACCAGATGACAATGTTTTATATAAACTGCCTTTACTTCTTTCTTAGAGTTATTATTCTACAGGACTGAGTGTTAGCACATAGTAGGTTCAAAGGAACATTTTTAAAGAGTGAAAAGCAAGGGTCTATCTTTTCCACCCTTTAGGTTATCACCCTTTGTTCACTGAGTTCCCACACCTTAGCTTGCAACCTCTATTGCTTCAACCCTCTGAAACAGCAGTCCCCAACCTTTTTGGCACCAGGGACCAGTTTCGTGGAAGACAATTTTTCCATGGACCGGGTGGTGGGGGGGCTGTTCAGGCGGTAATGTGAGCAATGAGGAGCGGCAGATGAAACTTCGCTCACTGGTCCACCGCTCACCTCCTGCTGTGCGGTACCGGTCCACAGCCCGGGTGTTGGGGACCCCTGCTCTAAAACACCCATCCAACCTCACTTCCTGCCTTTGGGGTAAATTGACCTCATCTTCAAAGAAACCCTCTGCCTCTTCCACAAAATCTCCTATGCCATTCAGTGTTGTTCTGCATTTCTAGGCTTAGTGTGTGGAAGACTGGAACTAAGGACATGAGATTGGAAATAAGGACACAGACTGAAGTTTGTCAGATATCCAGCCATACTTCTGAGGTCACAAAAACCAAAGTAAAAATTAAATTTACCAAGGCCATAATACAGTGAACAAGATACAGGGCTGCCTCCTCAGAACTTTGCAAAATACACAGAAAAGCAAAAATTAACTTCTCTAATTTATTTAAGCAGATCAATAAACACCATCATACATTGCTGAGGCCCTAACTTCAGAAGAGAAGAAAAGTGTCAATCGCAATGTAAAGATAAGCCATTCACTACAGGAACTATATCTATCTATGGCATCAGGAAGGCTTACCAATGTGCACCAAAAGGTTTTCTACACTGTCCATTTGTTGAGAACTGACCTCATTAGGAAGGCTGACGATCTAAGCCCTAAAGGATCTTACCAAAAAACTAAATAATCTTGCTTTATAACCTATAACAGATAGAAGGAATCTTTTTAGTGAGCAGACTTCTGAGTAAGAAAAGCTTTAAAACACTACACTAACGGTGGCAACTGTAAGGAAGCCAAACAGGATGTGCTTAGCATACTAACAGAGTTTATTAACTTAAGAATGTGATTTTAAGTATCCCGAGTTTGAGAGATAAAACTGAATATTTTTTCCCTTAACTTTTTTTTAAAATTAATTTATTTTTGGCTGTGCTGGGTCTTTGTTGCTGCACGCAGGCTTTCTCTAGTTGCAGCGAGCAGGGGCTACTCTTTGTTGCGATGCACTGGCTTCCCATTGCGGTGGCTTCTCTTGTTGCGGAGCACGGGCTGTAGGCGCACGGGCTTCAGCAGTTATGGCTCTAGGCGCACGGGCTTCAGCAGTTGTGGCGCGCGGGCTCTAGAGCGCGGGCTCAGTAGTTGTGGTGCACGGGCTTAGCTGCTCCATGGCATGTGGGATCTTCCCGGACCAGGGATCGAACCCATGTCCCCTGCATTGGCAGGCGGATTCTTAAACACTATGCCACCAGGGAAGTCCTCTCTTAACTCTCTATGTAATCTTTTGTTAAAAAAAAATATCTTTAACATTGCACTTGTATCCTAGGACATCAACATGTAAATTGGCTAGTAATTCCTGTTTTGTTCTCTAAGGCATCTGACTATCTATAGTATTACTAAATCTGATTTGCACAATCTGTAAATATTGTGAAACAGTGAAAGAGGTTTCAAAGTATTCTGAAGAAAATATACAGATGTCTGGTCAATTTCCACACACTCTTGGCCACTTAAATAACATTTCTAATTAGGTTATAAGTAAAGAGGATTTCATTATATTACAATTTTGTTTTAAATGGCCTCCCTCCCTATACTGGTACTGTCAAGAGAGAAAAACTATGTTTATTACTGCTCTCTATATAAGCTATTCTAAGCACTCTATGCACAGTAGTCTATCTCATTTAGAGAAACTATGAGGTTTTGATTTTATTATAAATATCCAAATTTATTAGACATATGAATATACACATTCCTCTGAAATAATTCCTCAACCAATGAATGACTGAGAACTTCCAAGCTGAAAATGATAACACACTTGGGCAAATAAAGACCCTCTTTCCTGGGAAATGACTTCTTAAATCCTATCCTGGAAAAGAGGAAGAAAAAAAAAATAGAGTATGTCTCACACAATCATAATTTAAGTGACTAATATGCCATTTTATTTTAAATAAATAATGCTAGTGATTCAAATTATCACAACCATTAGACCAATGACAACACAGGCCCTCTAGTATATTTTAACACGTTAATTAGCATTCTTTTAACTATTTTTCATTTCTAACCTGTAACTTTTACTTTTTTTACTATTATTATTTTCTATTTTTTAAGAAACTTTTATACAATTTTTAAACATTACTGTCCTAACCTGTGACTTTTAAAGACCTAGAGTTGGAGAATTGGTGTTTTAGACATAGCCATGTGCTGGTAATATCTTCCCCCATTTGTTTCCTACCTTCTCAAACACAGTAAACAAGCCATTCTAGAATCAGACACATCATCATCCAACATACATAATTAAAGAAACTACATGTGTACTTTTAGATTTACATTGTTTAATAAATCCAAGTGACATTTTGTGTTAATTCCAAAATAAGTTCATCCACTAGATAAAGAAAATAAAAACTAAAAATCCTAAGTCTCAAACTGAATAATAAGTTTTAATAAAATCATCTTTCTATACAATTTTTTTTTATGATTCACGATCAGGAGTGAGAGATTATAGAACTGTGGAATCAGACTAAATATCTAACTATACAATGTTTCTGAATGGCTATTATAAACAATACAGACTTTAAGGACTCATTCAGAGACACATTTGATTCTGAAATGTATTATTCAGTGTCGTTTTTACTAAGTGTACCATCCATAGGACTTTTTTTTTTGCGGTACACGGGCCCCTCACTGTTGTGGCTTCTCCCGTTGGGGAGCACAGGCTCTAGACGCGCAGGCTCAGCGGCCATGGCTCACGGGCCCTGCTGCTCCGCGGCATGTGGGATCTTCCCGGACCAGGGCACGAACCCGTGTCCCCTGCATCGGCAGGCGGACTCTCAACCACTGCGCCACCAGGGAAGCCCCTACAATCTTTTAAGTTCTTTGTCATAGGATGAAATCTGCATTTGCTGGTCTGTAATTGGCATTTTGGAGAACAGGCAAAACAGTGAAGCATGGTTCCCTGTTGGTTCATCCAAGGTCAAGGAAAAGAATCATATTCCCAACCCCTCCAATATAATTTAAGTTCATGATCCTAATGGCTCAAACTCATCCTAGTCAAGTTCAAACTTTGAATTTCTTATGAATATATCTATTGATGTCCTTTGGATATTTTAGGATTAAAAAATTTAAATCACAAACTGCAAAATGAATAATCAAGTACTAGGTTTTTGATCTTAATATTTGTTTCAGCCTAAGTTTACAACAGTTGAAGTGTTTGATTCTTAAAAATGTATTGAAGCTTTCTATCTGTAAAGCCTCTTTAGGTTCTATCAGACATTTGAATAAGACAAAAGCTTTGTCCTCAATGAGCTGACAAAACAAATATAGAAAACTATACTACAAGACATGGTGGAGATGCCATGAAGAACGTTTTGGAAAATACCATGGACCTTTAGAGAAGGAAGATCACAATCTGTTTTGGGTCAGAGAAAACAACTTGAACCAAGTCATGTGGAAAAGGGAAGTGAGCAAGAAACATGTTCAGGAAACAATGAAAGACACAGCTTGGCCAGAGCCCAGTGCACAGGGAGGAAATAAGATTCCAAAGACAAGAGTCATGCTGCCTGTAAAGGGCTCTGAAGTCAGGCTGAGGACATATAATAAAGTCACTGTGTGTGGCTGTGCTACAAGCAAGACTGTGCCTCTTGGGGGTGTGAAAGTAACGAATAAATTACACTGAAAGCATAGGGACAGAACATATTACTAAAGCCGGCAATAAATCAGAAAAGGGAGTAACGGGGATCTGAACCAGGTGGCCCCCAGGTGACAGTGGGAATGGAAAGGTGATGTTGCACTTAAAATCTACTGCACGTGGTAAAGGAGTTGGTATTTGGAGCAATGAAGGCAGGGGAGGGCGAGTGGGAAGCCGGTGCCACAGTTCTTAATCTGGATGACCAGAAGAAACTAAATACCTAAGTGCCCTAACAAAAATAGGAAGTCAAGGGGAAGAACTGAGATTTTTGTATTGTTAGTTCAGGGGAAGGCGGTGCAAATGAGATTCTGGTCTGGACTTGTTACATTTGAGGAATCAGTTGCAAACATTTGGCACACAGAAACATCACTGAGTACTGAAGAAGGCTCCATCCTGAGGAGATTTCAGCCCTCTCCACAAACAGGATAGTTAAAAGAAGTGTGAGTAAACAAGGCAAAAATGAAAACATAGATGGAGGCAGATTGGAGAATGACTCCATTTAGAGAATGGGGGGGGGCAAATAAAACTAACTACTGATCTCAGGTAAGACAAGAAGCAAAATGTCGGAAGATGGCTCTTATCAGACATTCGCTAGAATGTCTGGTAAGAGTCTCAAAAGGGAGTAGCTATCTTTAGTGTCAAACACTAAAAAGGACCCAAAAAATATAAGTATTGAGAAAAATAAAAGTCCACTGGGATGTGGCACTGAGAAGTTCTGTGATGTTTAATAAGTCAGGAGGTAACGACTTGGAAAGGGGAGATGGTAACAGAGAGGAGTCACTTATCTTAGAAGTCTTTTAAAAGATAGGAGAGTGGACTTCTGTCTCTTATTTCCAAGGCAAAGAAATACAGTAAAACTCTAATGAAATCCTGTAGTGCAAACCCACTGGAGGGGAAAAAAAATCCCTTATTTATTACTATTTGATGATTTCCATGGTGTAAGTACTACCACCATGGCTGATTTCAAGATGCCAATGGTTGGCAAAATTCCTGAAAATTTAGTAATAACTCTGGACCACCACTGCAAACTGCTACTCTGTGGTCTACTCTGCAACTCAGCAATTCCGTGACAGCCTTCCTCTAAACTCACCTGATACTTAATTATTCTCTGGGACAACCTTGCAGCAATTCACAGAAATCTACCCAGCTCTTGTTACATATTGCTTTCTCAACTGTATTACAACTGAAAAGGGTTAGATGTTGAAAGCCAAATGGCTCCCAGGCATGCCTGTCTTCACTAAGAAGGAAACAACAAGAATTACATACTCCAAAAAGCCTTCAGGTGACCTTTTTTATAATTGTTTCCTTTGTTAATGTCATTGTCCCTTATAAATCTGAGATGTCTTGAGAATAGGGAACTTGATTCAAAGACTTCAGTTTTCCCACAATCCACTTGGCTCTTGGGATAGTTCTATTGTTGATCAACCAATTAAAAAAATTTTTAAAGTAAGCTCTGTATCAATGAAGGAATAAGTAACGAAGTATCAGTGGAATAAGCAAAAGAAACATGAACCAAACATCCTAGTAGGCCCAATCGTGGTGAGAGGCAGCAGAGATATGTGACAGCTCCTTAGACTAAATCCAGATACCTAGGGGGCTCCAATCCATCCCTGCTACTTGCTGGTGGGATGCTAGCAGCAGTCCCAGTTGCAGTTCCACCTGAAAAATGGGAACAGTAGTACCTAGCACACAGGGTCGACCTTAAGGTTTAATATGAACACATTAGGGAACACCCAGCAGGAACAGGTACTTACTTGTTACAGTTCACAATGCCATACCAGTTTGTACACTGGACACTGATCAAGTGTATCACCAAGAGCACCAAGGAGGCCCACCTCTAACAAGGGACTGCGGCTGGTTAGCTGCTAAGGATAGTTTATAGTCTGTCCCCAGTGACCTCCTGCTATCACCCAAAACCACAAATTCCTTTCATGGCTGTGCCCTGGACTCCCAAGTCCCACAACAACATGGAGGCCAAAGAGTCCTCCTAAAAGCAATCTGAGAGCCAAAAATGTTGTGACAAAGGAGAGGGTAACAAGCTAACAGGTTCTGACTTGTATTCACACAGCCTGCAGCATCTCACCTCAACAAGGAAGTTCATCAACAAACCAAAATAATGGACCTATTCATCATATAAACAAAACTCAAGAGAAGAACCTAGTTTCTAATATTTCACAACTCTTCCCCTCTGTCATCTTTCCAAATACCCCTGTCTGTCATGATACTTTATATTCCCTTCTGTCATTTAGTTTTTCATATGCTAATTTCTCCTGACATCTGAAATAGAATTGTTGTCAAAATATTAAACATATATGGGGGGTAGCATAGAAGTTTATTTACTTTCCAATCTGAGTGACTGGCCTTGAGAAATAGGGCAATAATGTTCATAGCAATTTAATTTTTCCACTAATTAACTGCTATTCATCTACTGCCAAGTGCATGAAGTTACAGGTAGAAAAGAATAATACAAACAGTATATTCGTATATCAAAAAGTTTCCCATTAGAACCCTCCTAAACTGTTGACGGGAACGTAAATTGGTGCAGCCACTATGGAAAATAGTACGGAGATTCCTTAAAAAGCTAAAAATAGAGCTACCATATGACCCAGCAATCCCACTCCTGGGCATATGTCCAGAAAAGATGAAAACTCGAATTTGAAATGATACATGCACCCCGATGTTCACAGCAGCACTATTTACAAGTGCTGGAAGACATGGAAGCAACCTAAGCGTCCATCAACAGATGAATGGATAAAGAAAATGTGGTATATATATACATTGTGTGTGTGTGTATATACACACACACACACAATGGAATATTAGCCATAAAAACTAATGAAATACGACCGTTTGCAGCAACATGGATGGACCTAGAGATTATCATACTAAGTGAACTAAATCAGAGGAAAACAACTATCACATGATACCACTTACACGTGGAATCTAAAAGAAAATGATACAGATGAACTTATTTACAAAACAGAAGCAGATTCAGACATAGAAGACAAACTTATTACCAAAAGGGAAGGGGGGAGGGATAAATTAGGAGTTTAGGATTACCAGCTACACACCACTATATATAAAATAGATAAACAACAGGACCTACTGTATGGCACAAGGAACTATATTCAATATCTTGTAATAACCTATAATGGAAAAAACCTGAAAAGAATATGTGAATATATATATATATACACATATATACACACTGAATCACTTTGCTATACACCTGAAACTAACACTACATAGTAAATCAACTGCACTTCAATAAAATAAAAATTTTTTAAAAAGCTTCCCGTTAGACATCTGTCCCACCACTTCCATAAAGTTTCCTACACATAGTGTGTCTTCTGAGAAGCAAACGCACACATCTCTCCAGTAACGCCAGAACACTTGGAAGCAAAGGAAGATCTCCATTTGAGAGATTACTGACTCTGAATTTGCTACCCATATCGTGTTAATTTTCTTTCTATAAAGCATCTGTAAATTAAACGTCCTCTGAAAGCTCAAGCCACAGACTCACTCCCCCAGCCCCTTTCCCCCATTCTGGGCTCCTCCTTCCCCCGACACTCCCTTCCCTCTCGCGGCTTCTGGGGTGAACCTGGGCTCGCCATCCAACACTGTCCCGAAGAAGCGCCGCCCCTTCCTCAGGCTCCCGAGACGCTCGGCCGGGTGGCACTTTCGTTCTCGCCCCGGGATGGACCGAGCACAGCGCGAACCTGAGGTCCGAAGCCGCGCTCGGAAGTGGACAGAGTGACTCAGCCGTTTCCCATAACTCGAGTCAGGTGCAGGGACGCCGGTCAGCACTCGCGGGCCGCGCTGGGGGCAGGGCTGGGTCCCCAGCCGTCTCTGCCCAGAAGGAGACCTCAGCGGACGACCAGCCCGGACCGAGTGCCGGGTCACCCCCGCTGCCCGCCCCGCCGAGCCGCTGACACGACCTCGTGGCGGCCCCTCCGCGCGGGGGTCAAGCGGCCTCCCGGCGCTGCCTGGGTCACACTCAGACCCGAAGGGCGCCCGCCGGGGGCAGAGCGAGGCCAGGGCTTCTCCTCCCGGCGCCGCGCGGATTCGCGCCGGGGCCGGACGACAGAGCCGCCGGGCGAGTTAAAGAGTCCTCGGCGCTGCCCGCGCGCCCGAACCTGACGTAGCCCCCGCCACACTTACTTCTCATTAGCGTCCACAGAGTCCACCTCCACCTCCTCAGCCGCCATGGCCGCCGTCGCCGCGCGAGCTTCCGGCTGTACTTCCAAGCCGGCTGACAGGCCGACTGGGAGGCCGGGACCCGCCGCCGCCCTTAAGGCCGCCGCCAGCGTAGGCGTCTGCCGCCCCATCGCGTGACCGGGCGGTGCGGCCGCGCGGTTGCGCGTGCCGGGCCATCTGACCCCCCTTCATCCACCAGTCACGCATGCGTCCTCCCGTCCGACGCGCTCGGGTGTGGGCGCTAGGCGGGGCAGTCAACCTGGGGGAAACGAGACTCGCCCGGCAGAGTTAGGTGGTAACTAACTTCAGTCATAACCGTATTAATGCATCATCCGCTGATATTGATTGTCAGGTGCTGGGCACTGGACAGGCACCTAGCAGTTCCCTGGGGAATGAGGCGCGACCTTGCCCTGAAAGAGTCCATCTAGTATTCGATAGATGCTGCAATAGCGAATGGAAATGCTGTAATGGAGGAGCTGTGTGGCCTGCCGCCGGCCCTTCCTCGCAGGTGGGTGGCCTAGGGGAGAGGGCGACCTTTAGTCAGTTGATATTCACTGATGTGCGGGACACTACTCCAGACCCTGGAGTTACTGTAGTGACCAAAACCAGCAACTCCTGTCCACCCCGCGCTGTGTACACACGGGAGGAGTGTAAAGTGTCGGCGTTTAGGTACTTATGAGTTCTTGAGAGGACATCACTAATGTAAATATCAACACTTCTTGACCTGTTTTCAAGCCTTTTAACCGTCAGATACTACCTGCTTTTGTATTTATATCATTTTCTGCCATTCATTCATTTGTATTTACCGTTTGCCTACTATGTCCCCACTCTGTTCTAGGCGCTTAGAAACAATGGATTGAAGTAGGGCTCACTTCTTTACGGAGCCTACGCTAATATATTACCCTTTATTTTATTTTATTTATTATTATTATATTTTTTTTGCGGTACGCGGGCCTCTCACTGTTGCGGCCTCTCCCGTTGCGGAGCACAGGCTCCGGACGCACAGGCTCAGCGGCCATGGCTCACGGGCCTAGCCGCTCCGCGGCACGTGGGATCTTCCCACACCGGGGCATGAACCCGTGTCCCCTGCATCGGCAGGCGGACTCCCAACCACTGCGCCACCAGGAAAGCCCTACCCTTTATTTTGACGCAGTTCATCCCTCTCCTTCCCTAACTCTCCTCTCTGTCTGCAGCCTCTTTTTCTCTCCTCTGAGTCCCCCTAAACCAGACAGTTTCTATCACTCATCTGACACTCAGATTCTCAGCCTTGTCTACTTGTTGTGGCTTTTTAATGGACATTAATCAGTATTCTTCCAACTACACTGGAAGTTCCTTGAGGGTAGGGATGGTGTCTTCCGTGATTCAGGGGGAAAAAAAGCAACTCATAATCCCTTGGGCATAGCAATAACTAATAAATATTCTTATTGTATTTGATCCAATTCATAAGTATGTTAGGGAAGACTAGGACATATGAAAACACCGTTCCAGGAATTCATGGTGTTGCAATGTGTCTGCAGAAACTGACTCTCGACTATCTCCACCTATCAGACCATATCCATACTGGGGACACCTCTTTCTATATGGGCCAGACAGGTAATTGAGGACTCTGCTGCGTGGAGTACAGTCCCAGCCCTGTGGTACTGAGTCCAGTATCAAAACCTAAGAATATGGCAGCAACTCCTGCAGCACCTTCAGAAACTTGGACTGGCAAGTATGCGCCCTCAAGACTTTGTGGACCTGGAGCCCACTCTCATAGATGCCTATGGCTGCTGCACAGTTTAAAAAAAAAAATCATTGATCCAATGCTGGAGTTTATCCAGAAACTGACAGAGCAGTGCATAGGGCTATGGGATTTCATGATCTTCCCCAACTCTGGGGATATCTCTGCCCAGGCTTCACTTTGCTGCTGGTGGAGGAGCTGTCCTTGACTATGGCAAGAAGAAGTCCAAGCTGGTGTCACCCAGCCCCTGGGTGCTGCCAGCAGTGGAGGAACCCCTGCTGCTCCATTGTGACTGCCACACCACCCTGGAGTTCCTGGACTGTGTCTTCTTGGGAGACAGTGAGACCAACATCTTTTGATGCAACCTGTACCTGGACAGCTCCTCCTATACCACCCTCAGTCACTGCTTGGCCAGACCTCCATCACTGCCTCCCTGTACTTTGGTGGTGCCCTGAGAGCACACCTCCCAGAGTTCCAGGCCAACCTGGTGCCCTCTTTCCAAATCCACTTCTTTTTGAGGACGTACTAACCAGTTACTTTGATTCAGCAGTACTTATGCTGGGGGATCACTTGCGCCTACTTTGAACTCTCTCTCTCATCAGATGGTCAGATGTGACACTCATCGAGGCAAATTCATAAGCCTGCTCTGCCTGCGCTACCCCAGGGCTGTGGCGTCCAAAGAACTAATGCTGCAATTATACCACCAAGACCATTATACCACCATTATACCAGCGTACCATAGAAGGTGATGACTGGTGCCCCACTGGTGTCAAGATTGGCTTTAATTTCTAGCCCCTCAACAGTGATTCTCCAGGAGAAATGCTGAACACCACCACGGCCGTCAGAGAGGGCTGGACCTTTATCACAAGTCTGCCAGGCTAGCACTTGCAAATCAGAATGAGGATAAGGGCATGAAGGATTTTCTGAGGACTTCGATGGCCTTGCTGCCCTGTAAATGTTGATAAAGTGCTGTGATTAAACGGAGTAAGAAAGCAAGTGTGGCAGGGAAATAATAAGGACGTGGGATAGTAAGGGAAAATGATAGCTGGATCCAGGGAAGGGCTGGATACCAGTCAGCTGTATGACCTGGGGAGGTTTGGAATCACATGATTAGGGCTTCTCAGACGCTAACCTGCATCCACACTTCCTGTGGATCTTGTTAAATGGCAAATTCAGCCTCTGTAGGTCTGGGGTGGCGCCTGAGATTCTGTGTTTCTAACTGGCTCCCAGTGATGCCTGTGTCCGGCTGCTAGTCAGCAGACCACCCTTTAAATAACAAAGCTCTCGAGCAGCCCTGTGCACTAGAACTTTCTGCAATCATGGAAATGTTCTAAATCCCCACTTTCCAGTATAGTAGCCATGAGTTACATGTATCTACAGAGCATTTGAAATGTGGCTAGTGTGACCAAATTTTTCATTTTAATTAATTTAACTTTAAAGCCACATGTGGCTAATGCTACCATGTTGGACAGCAAGATGCAGATTTATGAAAATGAGAGTTTGAGACCAGACAATTCCCACGGTCCCATCTGATGTCCTTGTGGTTCCAAGATGTTGTTTTCAAAGTGTGTGTGGAGGGTGAGGATAGGAGTTTGATGAGGGGACGGATGTTAAAGTCTGGAGTAAAGCCTGAAGGGTTGGCAGTTCCACCAAATGGAAAATAGTTTGAGAGTTACCTGTTTAAAATGTAGAATATTTTGTCTTTTTGTACCTAAGTTGTCAAATGTATTGGCATAGGCTCTTTGTAATGTTGCCTAATTATCTTCCTAATGTTGTTAGGCTCTGTAGTGATAGCCTCTCTTCAAACCTGATATTGTTCACTTGTACTTTCTTTTTTACCCCTGGTCAGTTAGCTAAGAATTTATCAATTTTATTAGTCTCAAAGAACCAACTTTTGGTAATTTCATGGATTTTGCTTTTTCTACATATGCTCAGGAGAGCTTTACATATTAGTGCATATAGATTTACCTCATTTTTCTTAATTGCTACCATGGTATTTCATATTATGGGCGTACTGGAATTTATTTAATCATAGGCATTCTCATTCATTTTTCTTTTCTTTTTTTTTCTATTAGAATACTGAAGGGAACCTCCTTTTACACGCCTCTATATGCACATGAGAAAGGCCAGGAGCTTCCCCTCCCCCACAGTTATATAAATGGAATCATACAATGTATAACCTTTTGAGATTGACTCTTTTCCTCTCAGCATAATTCCCTGGAGATTCATTAAAGTTGTCAAGTGAACGAATAGAATAGTTCATTCCTTTTTAGAGCTGAGTAGTTTTCCACAGTTAGTTTAATCAGTCACCTGTTGAAGGCCATCTGGGTTGTTTCCAATATTTTTGGATATTACAAATAAAACTGGTTCTTGTGTAAACCTAAGGTTTTCATTTTTCTGGGATAACTGCCCAGGACTGTAATTGCCGGTCACATGATAGTTACATATTTAGATTTTTTAAAGAAACCACCAAATTATCTTCCAGAATGGCTGTACCATTTTCTGTTCCCAACAGCAAAATATAATTGATCTAATTTCTCCATATCCTCACCAACATTTGGTGTTGTCTCTATTTTTTATTTTAGCCATCTTGATAGACCAGTAGTAATGTCCCATTGTGGTTTTAATTTGCATTTCCCTGATGACTAGTGATGCTGAGCGTTATTTTACATGCTTATTTGCCGTATGTATGTTCTTTTCAATGAAATGTCTGTTCATGTATGTCTTTTGCCCATTTTCTAACTATTAAGTTTTGAGAATTTTTAATATTCTCTAGCGACTAATCCTTTGTCAGATACGTGGTTTGCAAATATTTTCTCCCATATGCAGCTTGTCTTCTTATCCTCTTCACATGGGCTTTTGCAGAGAAAAAATATTTTAATTTAATGAAATCCAATGTATTGATTTGTTTTATGGCCTATGCTTTTGGTGTTCTCTAAGAATTATTTGCCTAACCTGAGGTCTTGAAGATTTCCTCCTTTGTCTTTTTCCAAAAGTTGTATGGTTTAACATGTTACATTTAAACATTTAAGTCCATGATCCATTTTGAGTTAATATTTGTATAAGGTGAGAGGTTTAGGTCAAGGGTTTTTGTTATTTGCCTATGGATATCCAATTGTTCCAACACCATTTGTTGAAATCACCAATGGTTTTTTTTAGTTTTTAAAAAATATTTATTTATTTTATTTTTGGCTGTGCCGGGTTTTAGTTGCGGCATGCAGGATTTTCATTGCTGCGCACGGGCTCTTTGTTGCGGCGCATGGGTTTAGTTGCCCTGCAGCATGTGGGATCTTAGTTCCCCGACCAGGGATCAAAACCTTGTGCCCTGCATTGGAAAGCAGATTCTTAACCACTGGACTACCAGGGAAGTCCTGAAATCACCAATGGTTTTTAATGTATTACTGGGTAGCCTCTTTTTTCTTTCTC